ATGACAATGCTAACATACAGATGTTAAGCAGGTATAAGGTTTATACCATGTTCACCATCTTTGTTTAGCTAATGCTAAGACTGCTAATTAGCAATAAATGCTGAGTATATCTGAGGCTTGTTGTTGAGACATTTCACTCACCGCATGTCAACCTCATGGTGCCCTACTGGGAGAAGTCAGTCAGTTGAGCAGACCTCAGAGTGAGGTTGCTATCCCTCAAAATCAATCACATTACCTGTGCACCAAACATGGAAACAACAGAATAATGCCATATCCTCCTCATCAATGCTTTACAAGTGTTATAATTATAAAAGGTGATTTATAGTTAAATGTTTGAGATAATTTCAAATTGTGTTCACAAATTGTGACACATTTCCTTTGAAGCTGGAGGCAGTGTGAACACAGAGATCCAGATTGCATGGTGGGAATATAGGCCAGGAACCCAGGATCATGGATATGGCAATAGACAGTGTCCTTGGGAGAGAGAGCTGTGTGGATAAACCGCTGAAGGATTCCTGGAACGGAAATGGGGTGAGTCAATCGATCAGGAGAGTAAAACCCTGAAGCGGAGCACAGGTAGTACTTGGTGGGGTGGGAGGTTGAAATGCATGATGGTATCTCCGTCATCGACTTTATCCCCCTTGATTCCAGCGACCAGTCTAAATGATGCACATTTATTTCACCAACAAATGTTAAGGCAAATCATGTCTACTTTACATCACTGCTGATGTTTTATGCAAAACCATGCTGAAATGTGTGTTTTTTACATAGATTTCTTTTTCATCTTTTAGCCAGCCATTATTTTCCATTCATTTCTGTATAATGGAAAATCAATTGGTGGATTTCCTTTGGTTGTGCAGTCCATCACAGTGAATAACAACTAGGCATTTGTTTTTGTCAAAGTTATATTATAGTTTGAGGCAGTGCACACTATTGAAATATTCCAGCAACAATGATAGAAAATATTCAAAAGAGACTTTGTTATGACTCTAATAGAATAAGACAATCACATTTTTAGAATATTCTTATTGATTTTCATAGCATAGAAGGATAAATGGCTACCAATGGAAAGAAAAACAATACATTAAGAAATCTGTATAGCATACTTTTGTCATCAGTGATATGTAGCTTAAACAAGGAAAAACACAGGTTTTTATACCTTTCTATTAAAGTTCCATACTTAGATTAACAACTGAACAAACTCAGTTTGCTGATTTTGACTTCGAGTTGATACGTTTTTGTCAAACTACTACTCTTAATGCCAACAATAAACTTTGCCGTTCAACACACTGGCACACACTCAGAGCAGCAGAATAACACATCACTGCAGATAGACAAAACAGACACGATCATAATCATGTATGTGCACCTGTATGTACACACTTCTAAACATACATATATTTATATTTGCAGGTGCATACACCATATTTGTTCTTGAGTTGGATAATGTACTAATCTTAGATCACACATCTCTTGTCAATTCGTAACATCCACTCAGGACAATATGCCAGGGCTGCGGGTGTTGTCTTCTCTGACCAATGAGAGAGGCTGCCACTCTGACGTCAGACAGATGAAAGCACAGAAGGAGAGTGAGACCGAGAGACAGAGGAAGACGGGGTGATGGTGAGCAAGAGCTTAAGGAAGAATCATTTCAAGAGACGTATAGGGTCAGCTGAGTGAGAGACAAACAGAGGGAAGGATAGAAAGAGATGGCGGCGGTATGAAAAGAGGAAAGAAAATGCTGACAGATTAGGAAAGGAAGGAAAGATGCATGTAAAGAGTGAACAAGAAATGGAAATTTACTTAAAGAGGTCCAGTTCCACGCTGACACAGCACGTAGGTTGTGAATTTGACACAAGTTGGTGAACGGCACAGTTGGATGATGTCACCTGTCTCTTGTCTTTCACTTTATTCCCCTCCTACTCTGATTGTCGGTGGGTCCAGTCTAGCAACCACCTCTCTCCTCCTTCCTGTCTCCCTCAATCAGGAATGCTGACAGGTGGGGAAACGCATTGCAAGGATGAGATAGTGAACATCAGGGTGCAAAAAGGTCTTGAAAAAGCAACAAATGCTCATGAAGTAATGTTTTTTAAAGAACCAACATTGTCAGCATTAGTGTTTTTGTCTGCTTGTATGACTCATGAAAAACAATAAAGAATTTGGTTACTTTTTGTAATTGTAATTGGATCAGAATCAGAACAGCTCCAAACAGAGTACTACTGAGGCAATGAACCCTCCACTGGGTTATTTTCGTTTTTAAATAGACATTTATAAATAGATGCTTAATCTGAAATAGACAAATGGACTTTCAAGTGCCTTTGACAAGCCAGACAGGACAATATTGGAAAGATAGATATAAAAATAGTTCTGATTTTTAATGGACTTTTGATTGCTTAAAAAACTTAAAATGAAAAAAAGAGGTGCAACTGCCCTCAACTGTGCAAATTACCTTTAATTTAGCACAAGGTACTGTGCCAGTACAATGAACTAATACAATCAATTACACACATGTATGTACAGTTGTTTCAGAGAGGACACACATGCACACACACCCGCCCACGCACACATGTTCCCCAGCATAGATAGTGGACGAGTCATGTCTGCCAGCCCTTACTGTGATGGCTCCAGATTTAAGGGCCAGCAATCTGCATTCTCTGGCTCTATCTCTCTATTCTGTCTCTTGCTCACTTTGCCCTCGTGCTACTTCTATCTCCTTTGCACACATACACACACACACACACACACACACAGATCCAAACACACAGGTAGGGAAGTGATAAGGGTGGTGTGAAACAGGCAACTCTGCTGTGCCAGACACACACTCCATATGATGTTGATTGGCCACCTCTCAGGAGCTGACATAAGTCAGGCGTTCAAGTCGAACCAATCAAATTGCAGATCTGGAAATGGTATTTCGAGACTCTTGGCCAAATCTGTAAATATCCATATGTCTACTAACAGAGCAGGGGGAGGCAGGCACACACACACACACACACACACACACACACACACACCCACACACAAACATTGCATATAGGGCCATACTGTAAGTCATGTGTTTGTTTTAAACAAACTGAACAAACACAACACAACTGATAAGATGAGATTCACTTACACACACACACACACACACACACACACACACACACACACACACACACACACACACACACACACACACACACACACACACACACACACACTCAACAGTTAGGGTCAAAGACAGCATGAAACTGAGCAACTACAGTTAAAGGCAGACTAGACAATCCCAGCCGAAGTAGGACATCTATCCCCGAGAGGCATGATCACAGCATCCTGCAGTGACATAATATGTGAGAGCAACGAGTGTTGAATGATGAGCATTCAAGCACGCCTAGCACTGACACAACAGATATTTGCCACAACACCATCGGCATTTTCAAATCCGGTTAAGGCTCCTACCAAAAATCAGGCCCTGTGTGCTGAACTTACAGTCACCACTGCGATCAGAGGTGAATCAGAGAACAAAAAACCGACTCTCCTTGTGTGAGCACCCGCTGACATTTGGTGATAAATCAGCAAATTATGCCATTGACAAGGCTTGTTCCTTCCACTCTGGACAACATAACAGAAATAGCCTGCATTACTGACTTTCTGATTTTTTTTTAGCTTAAACAACTCTGGAGTACATTCAGTGGAAGGTGCAATATCATTGACAAGAGTGACTAAACACATTTTTTATTGTGTTTGAGGGCAGTTTTATAAGCAAAACTCTGTGACAGGACACTGGGAGAACTTCCACACAGACAACAGTAAGTGGTGAGCTATCCATGGTGCTGAAATTCAGTGCTGTTCTCCCACAGAAATAAATTACACAATATATTCTCTGCACTATTCAATATGTTGTAGCATTTATATAAATATATATTTTGTTTTAGTTTTTTTGGCAGAGGGACACTGGCTACACTAAAACTAATTGGATTGGCATTTGATGAGCATTTCTTCACCTCAACAACAAATTGAAGAATAAGCTGCCTCCTGTCCTGCCTTAAGAACACATTAATCAGGTAATCATCTCTTGTCTTATCCTCAATATACAGGCCATTAACATTAAGCAACAATTTCTTTGGTAGCACTCCAAGCCATGCCTCTGACAATGATTAGTACCTTTAAGGATGAGGATAAATACTGTAATTTACTTTCAGCAACTACCACCTAACTCTCACTCCCTCTCTTTCTCTCTCTGTCACGCACGCACGCACATATACACACACGCGCGCGCGCTTGTTCCATTATCCCCGTTGGGACACCTCATTGACATGATGTATTCCTTAGCCACTTACCCTAACCATAAGACGAGTCCCCCTGGGTTAGTGTGCATTTAGGTTAAAGTCCCCACTGCTGGGACATGAGGATATAAAACACACACACACACACGCACACACACACACAAACATTGCATATAGGGCCATACTGTAAGTCATGTGTTTGTTTTAAACCCACTGAACAAACACAACACAACTGATAAGATGAGATTCACTTACAGGGAACACGTACGTGACCTTGTGCTTGTTCAGCTGCTTTCCCCTTGTTCAGAAGCTGAAACCTGACTATTTTCTAGACTTTTCAAAGCCTTAATTTCCCACATCTTCATTTCACCTCTGTCTCCTCTGGACATGAAAAAAAGCTATGTCATTTCAGCCTACATTCGTGTGTGAAATGGGCTGGATTACTGAATCTTGACTAGCCTGTAAGGAAACAGTGAGTATGATGTTTTAACTGCATTGTTGTTCTTGTGAATGGACTCGCGTCTTGCCTGCACCAAAAGCAAGATGTCGCCATAAGTGTATGTTTGTGCCCTGCCAAGACAATATTTGGCTACTATTACTCATGAAGTGCAGCGAGGACAGCCAAAACACCCTTTACCACCTTTATGTGTGTCTGTGCTCCCTCTCTCTCCATCCCTGTGTGTGTGTCTCCCCCTGTGTGTTTGCGTGTGTGTGTGCACATAGGTAATAAGCTGCTCCACCACTGCGCAACGATGGAGCTATCGCAACGATGGAGATGACGCAAACAGACCCAGCTCTCCGAAAAAGTGTTTCAAGACGAACATGGCGGCAACTTAACCGCGGTCCAAGATGACAATGGCCAACGGGAGAAAGGATTCTAGGCTTTCCGCCCAGGTACGGGACAGAGAAACCAGTCTGCATGAATCGAAAGGGCTCATTGCTCTCCTTTAAGTGAATCTGCAAACCGAACGGCGGCAGACGCGCAGCATCAGTACCAAGAGGCTCGCAACAGCTGGTCTCCCTGCGCCCCCGACGAGAGAACAAACCCGGGGGACGGACGATAGAAAGAGGGGGGCATGCGGTCAAAGAGGACGCCGTTTCCCCCCGGAGAGCCATGGAGAACCGGGATGCGGCAGCGCGAAGCTTAATCTGTGCGCGCGCGCTAATTGGATCGGAATAGCACCGATTGCTGCGGGCGCGATAGAGGAGCGCCCTGGACCGGCGGAGGCACGGCACCCCACCGTTACAGAGGAGAACCAACCGGAGTCCATCTCCCCCAAGTCAATGAGTATTGTGGCAGAGCAGCCCCCGCGGTGGAGTCGGCCAGGGCAGCACTTTCCTAAAATATGACCAGGGGTGCTTGGATGCGTCGGCAGCATGATGAAGGCTTAAAATACTGGTTTGCACCCCGAGAGAACGAGAAGCCATTTACCGAGTCGGAGCGGGCCCAGAGATGGCGACTGTCACTGGCCTCTCTGCTGTTCATCACCGTCCTGCTCTCTGATCACTTGTGGTTCTGCGCTGAGGCGAAACTAACGCGAACCCGAGACAAGCGGTCGGACGAGGGGCTTGCAATTACGGACATGGGCGAGTACCCAAACTCCCTCCACCGACACCATATCCCAACATCACCTGACCCCCACCGTCTCGCCAGAGAGCAAGATGTTATTTTTCTAGGGAATTCTACCAAACCTCTGTGGCGAATGGACACCTGTCACCCCGACAGCCTGTCCAAAGACTGCTTTACTTTCACGGACGCGAAGACCGTGTGCCTGGGCCTCTCCGGTGGAGGGGGAAAGGGGACACAGTTTGCGTACGTGAATCTGAGCGATTTGTACCTTTCTTTTTGTAATTCCTACTCACTTTTGGATTTGTTTTACGGGTTTACGAGTCCGGACGATTTGAATTGCACCCTGGATATGGCCATGGAGGGATGCAGCGAGTGTGTCCGGGCTTATCAGCGTCTTGACCAGCAGGCGGAGGAGAACTACCGGGAGTTTGAGCTGCTGGTTCAGAAATACGAGACGGATGCATACTCGGTTAGGACGTGCATGGAGGAATGCAAGGTAGGACTAACGAGGCCGGGTCGCGCACGCGCACGCACACATTTAAGGGGGTGGGTTCACAGTCGTCATAGCAACCGTTGGGCATATCTGTCAGTATACTGGTATTTATTTTTTAGACTCCAGGCAATCAGTGCCTTCACTGCATCATCCGGCCTGTCAGGGTGTGCACCAACACACAGTTACACCAAGTGAAACTGGCATGGGCTTCTCTTTACTCTGGCTCTCTAAGTCCAGTCTTTCTAGTCTACTCTAATATGGACTACCTGTGAACTGTAACTGTGGAAGTGACGTTTGACATTTGGAGTAAGACCCAGGCTTGCAACGCAGCTCTATGAGATGAGGGGAGAGAAGGCTGTTGAGTGTTGCTCATTTCAATATCGTTAATAGCACGCCAGTGATTTCTGCACCTAATCCAGGCTTTATATTGTCCCCAGTTTGCTTGTTGTTCTAATAACATGGCAGTCTTAGAGCACATATCTCAGGCTACCCAAACACACACACACACAGACAAATACACCACACACACACACACACACACACACACACACACACACACACACAAACAAACACTGCAATATAGAGCCATACTGTAAGATGTGTTTGTTTTAAACCCACTGATCAAAAACAACACAACTGATAAGATGGAGCCCACTTGCAGAGAACAGGTACATGATATTGTTAAACCTATAATCACAAACCTTGTGCTTGTGCAGAGGCTCTGTCTCCCTGTCAGCCATGCATCCTCCTGTGCTCACTCTCCATGGTGCTGAAACAAGGCCCTGCAAAAGCCCTTTCAGGAGGTCAGGGGGATATGCTTGTACTTATGCTAAGTAGTTAATAACTTATATCCATTCTTTTCAGTGGTCAGACAGTGAAGTATGTTTATATAGTCTAGTCAACTGTAACTGTGAACAAAGCGGACCACTACACTGCACGTTCTCTCATCTCTCCTAGCCTGTGAATTCCTGTTTGACTGGAAACACACAACAGATGGAAAATATGCAGTGTTTATGGTGCTTTCTTTAATTAACAGGATTGAGAATTGCTGGTATGAAAGGTATGGAAAGTATGGAATATGGTTATTGACACTAGGCTTGTGGAAGCATAACAGATTCGTGGTGTTAGTCTGGCTTGTATGTCTCTGATAGAGAGACAATACATGCATTGTTACATTGCATGTATTGTACAGTATAGCTTTATTTGTACTTGGCAGATGAACTTTTCACCCTTGCTGTAACGTGCTTTTTGTTTGATGCACCGTAGCTTGACCAAATTCTTTGGTCTAAACATTAAGGTTTTGAGGAATTGTTATGAAAGTTGTTATCAAAAGGTGTCCAAAGCTGCTTCACCACCACAACAGCACTATAACTCAGATCAGGGAGTTATCCTTGGAAAGCAGGAAATCTTCATTCAAAACTGACCTCATAATGATCCCGCAGCCCAAACTCATTTCAACAAGATGGATGATGGTCAGGGTGCTGGGCTGAGATTGCTGATAAACCGTGTGTACGTGTGTGTTTGAGTGAGTGAGGATGGATAATTAGTGGGAGGATATACTCAGGATAAACCTTAACAAGGAATCATGTGCTGTTTATATGTTTCATTATCATAAGTCATGTGTTATTGTTATGCCAGTTTGTCAGTGTGTGTATGCATATATGTATTTGCATAAATCTATTTCCTATGATTTGCATTTGCACTCCTACTCTTTGCTAATGTAATCAGACTCAGGCAGGACTTCAGCAGCCTTTTAGCCCCTTTATCCTGATCTGAATTGCTAATCTTCTTCAGTGTTCTTGTGACCTTTGTGAAAGCACAGCACCCCAGGCCTGCATCACAAACCGTTGCTCCTTGAAGAACCACTCTGCTGGACAGTAAAAAGACATTAGACGACTTGAAAAAATAATTAATGCTATTCACTCTTATCTGTCTTATTTATCTCATCTCCGACCTCTCCGCTCTTCTTCTTCTTCATCCACATTTTAAACAACTGCTCAATGCTTCTTTTCAAATGGTTTAAATGAAATGAAACTGTGACATCATGTGGTGTTACAGTTTCAGTTTGTTTTGTGTGTGCTGTTGATATGTGTTGTCAATGTTGTATACGGTTAGGGGATGGGAGAACTGATAAGTAGTGGGATTAAATAAATGAAAAATGTGAGGTAAGATTAAAAAGTGAATTTAAAGTAGGAAACAGAAAAGAACAACACACACACACACACACACACACACACACACACACACACACACACACACACACACACACACTGCACAGTAATAAGACATAACTAGCCTACTAATCTTCATGGACAGATGTAAATTGTGGATGTCATTATCATTCTAACCAGATAGTTTTCATCAGGATGGTACGTGGCACTGAGCCTGCCTTGTTTACTGTCAGATAATGATGTGTTACTACAGTTTGCCAGTTAGCTTAGCTGGAAAAAGAAAATCAAAATTCATCACAAAACAAGAAAGGCGCTCATATATTTGAGTATTTGGCTGGTGTAAGTGAAACAGATATTGGAGTCTCAAAAACAAACATCACATTTAGCAATGTTAACATAATCCTGGTCAATTTACAGACATTTGAGAGGCTGATGTGATGCAAATTGTTATATAGAGAATACATTTATATTTTGAGGTAGTAAGATGCAGTCGCTGAGCTGTATGTATATTACTGTCTGTTGGAGGTTGATGCAGGATCGGCTTCAGTGGTCAGACCTCCATCATGTGTGATATAAATGCAAAGAGAGGCTTGGCATTGCCACTTGACAAAAATGCTCAGAGGTACTTTCCTTACCTACACTGTCAATAACATGTTGGCCTAGGTTTGAGTGTTTTCCCTATTGCCATATGAACCGTTTATTTATAAAGGTTATAATACTGATCGGCTTTTATGTTATTGAAAGAACGCATCAGGTGATATCCTACATGCTTTCTTATGTTCAAAGGAATACGATGAAATGAGGATTTTTTAGATTCCACATCTTGCTGCCGTAAGTACTCATTAGTGCTTGAAACGTGTATTATTCCACGGCCAAAAACAGGACCCAACAAATGCACAATTTACTTTTGTATGAGTAATGTTTAATTAAAACTACAGTGCCCAGCTGTTATGGGAAATAACTTAGCCTTTAAAAAAAAATCACACTCTATATTCGTTAGATGTTTTTAAAATCGTACCTCTTCAGAAGGAACAAATGGACTCTGGGCGAGAGTCTCCACCCTGTCTGAGTGCCACTGATAGGGTGGAGAGGTTTCAGTATATATTGGCTATATCAGCAGTCGTAGACCATATCTACCACTAACTAATAACTTACTCTAAACGTAAACAAGATCATTTGATAGGCCACTTTCACTGAAGATATGATTATGACAATTATATGTGGGCTTAGCAAAAATGCACATGTAGATTGCTATGCTACATCCCTCCTATCTTGTTTTCTGATCTTCTGTTCTTACATTCTTGTGTTCTTTACCCATTTTGATATCTGTATGTACCTGTTTATATCACACGGACACACACACACACACACACACACAAACACACACACACACACACACACACACACACACACACACACACACACACACACACACACACACACACACACACACACACACACACACACAAACAAAGAGTCCCATGTGCAGTGTTTCCTGCAGGTCCAGATCTGAATGTCCCTTCCGGTGTAATTTAATTTGCACTCCCATAATTCTCTTCTTCTCTGGTGGCTGTGTCTCCAGGGCTCTATCTCAACATGTTGATCTCCGTTCTCCCTCTATCAGTCATTGTCTCTCGCTTACTTTCACATCCTTTGTCTTTCTCCCATCTGTGTCACAGGTCTGAGGAACCAACAATACATACACAAGAGTCCAGTATCCCCTTACCCCTCTTCCTCCTTCTTATAGACTTACTTTCCAACAGAGGCCTTGGTTTCTCGCTCCCTCCCTTTTTCTGGAAATATGTGGGTGTCGAGCTCTTTTTTCTGATGGAGTGATAGATACTGATCTAGGTTAAGGCCCTTTCCTTCCCTTCAATTACAGGCCTGTCCACACAGATCACACTTTGTGCTCCTTCACCAGCCTCTCTCTGGCCCTCTGCCTAGTCAATCACCTTTCTTCTCTATCACTCTCTATGTTTACAAGACTATTCATTTAGCTGTAAGGGTTTATGTTTTAACTTCACAGTGAGGATGGGCTGATTGTGTTTTCCATTAAATAAGGCAGTCCCTGCTGGAGTCTTATGCCAAAGCAAAATTCCCAGGATCCCCAGTAGGTAAAATTAGCATTAAAGCACCACAAGAATTAGAATGTAGAAGAATGTAGGAAGGAACAGGATAGAAATTCAGTAAGTAGAAACCCGAGCCTGCAGCCATGCTAGCGGCTCTGTCAGGCTTGAAGCGCAGAGGTGCCTCGAGCTAAATTCGAATGTCAGCATGCGGATGTTTAGGTATATGTTCACCATGGTCACCATCAAACGTTAGTGTGATAGCATGCTAACATGCAAGCTAGTTAGCACTAAAGGACAGGTGAGTCTGATGGTAATGGTATTCATTTTGCAGGTACTTCGTTGAAAAACCAAAGACAAATGATGGACTGATGATGGTGCTGGATGAAAAATGCATGAATTCATCTTTAGGGGGACATGAATATGTATCACATTTGATAGCAGCTTGTCTATTACCTGAGACTGAAAGATAATTCCTGACCTTGGAGACAGCAGTGGATACTAACAATCACCACAATGTCCATTAGTAGCTGTTCTGGCGCTTTCAATCATATTACATGTTCTTCCCCAGCAGATGGAGATTGTCCAGCTGTAGTGGAATTGTAGATGTTTAAATTTACATTTTTCTGTGCCCTTTGAGGACCCCGTGCCCATGTTGGCTTAAACATTAAGATTGTGTGTGTGTGTGTATATATATGTATATATATATATAAATGTGTGTGTGTGTGTGTAATAATAATACACATTCAGAGGTAGTAACACCATA